CCCGATTTTCGAAAGAAGAACAGTTGAGAAATCGACTTTCTTCCCGCCGCACCTGGACCGATACGACTTGATTCCGATGTTCTGTTCTTCTAGTCAGTTATACCTACAGAAACCTCGACAACCGATGGATTCTGCCGTTATCCTCACGCACAATGTCTCCGATCTTGTCAAAGGATATGTTGCAGTTCTGGAAGTAAATTTCGGTGCGTTTGTTGGGTCCGTCTGTCGTACATCTGGCAGCCATTTTCATGTAAACATCTTAATAAAAAAAGCGAAATCTCTTGGTTGCTAGTAACAAAGAGTGTGGTTGATAAAAAAGAAATAACCAATAATTGTATTACTATCTATTCGGAAGCCATTCGGTCTTTCTTTTTCTATTAATAGGTAATATCAAAACATGTAGCATTAGATATCGTTGATTTTGTAGGGAAGTATTTATTTAGCGCAATTTTCTAATTCATTATTTTTTTTCCATAACGGCAACACCTAAAGAAAGTGAGGTATTCTCTTTTCTTTCGACACAGCTGATATAAACTCTAACTGCTCATTTATTGGAATATGAAAACGATGCATACTTTAAACATCTATGTATGTAAGCTAAATCCAGTTAAAATCTTTGCTAAATCAGTAAGAAATTTGCAAATGCTCGTAACTGCGCCATCTAGTAGCGGATAATCGAACCGATGGTGTTTTCCCTTCTTCACTGTCTCATTACATAGAAAACACGAAGAGTAGGTCAACAGTGGATATAAAAATGCTTTATCATTGTATGGGCGCATTTACCATTAATGGAAACGCGGTGTATGTTCGGTGATGAGCTACGAAACAGTATGTATAATTCGTTTGGATTTTTGTGGATGCCCTTTATATATAAACTTTAATTTCATTAGGAATGACTAGTATGCCATTTTTATCTACACAGGCATATAATGTTAACAGTCGTGCATTGAAAAAAGAAGAGAGAAAAGAAAGTAAAGAACGAGATGCAAGGCCCATTTCATCAGAATGACCAGGACATTTTTTGAAGGTATCAGATATATAGCACATGTGTTGGGGGTCGGTTCCGCCGTTGGAACCAGCCAGCTAGTAGCTGCTTGAGGTGAAACAAGCAAGCATCTATGCTCTCGCTCAGCATTTGCGTCTCCTCATAGAAACGGCAAGACTTGAAATAATACTGAAAATTGAGATCACATTTTAGCACAAAATAGAGCATCCAGAATTACCGAAACGAATCATACATTTTGCATCTCAACAAAGCGTCACTGCGGTTTTGAGTTCAGTTAATGTTCCATAATTAAGAATATAATGTAGCCTGTATGGTTCTGGCAAAAAGAAGAAACCAACACATGGTGCAAGTACGAAAAGCATTTACAAGGCCTCGTCGATTTCGTAGATTTTCATTAGATTTGCCTGCTATACGTATACGTTTAAGAGAAATATTTAGCTTTTTTATATTTCAAGAAAAGTGCAGTCATGGGTGTTGCCATTTCGATAAAGAGGATCTCAGTAATTCGAATTTGGAAAAAGTCCTACTGCAAAGTCAACGATAACTAATGTCACACGTCTTGTCACTTATTTGAGGTGATTGAAAGATCAAATGGCATACATACTTTCCAGAAATAGATAATAAACACTGGTTATTTATAAGCTCCCAATTACACTCTCTCTACCAAACAACTTTGGGATTTCGCCTCATTCACGAAAGATACTATTTAAGCTAGGTTTACATCGATGAGTTTGACAGATGTACAAAAGTGGTACCGACTTGTAATGTAATTGCGAAACTGTACCTATATCTATTAGTGATATACGACTATTATGGGAAACCGTGAAATGTCGTATTTGCATCTGAGAAGGATTTATTTATTCCAAAATTATCCTAGTTAGAAAGTAATTTTATTTTTTAATTACTTTTCTTTTATCTTGCCCTCTTGCTCTCATGGGTCAGGCGCTCTCCATCTGGTCGGTAATTATACTCGGTAACTGAGTAATAAAAGTACAGTGATTGTGTTTATGCATGATGTAGTGACGAGCAATTGAGGGATTAATTATATCTCAGTTGTGATTGTTATCCAGTGTGTTATGGTTGTATATATGAATTCAACAAAATTTGAGTTGACTGATATGGTAGTTATAATATATCCTGCTGCGATTGTCTTTGGCCTCAACACTATGAACATCTCCCCTTTCAAAAAAAGTAAAATAAAATAATATAAAATGTACAAATGAATAGATAGGCATATATTGCTGATAAGATCTATAGATGGAAAAATTATCTTTTGATGTTCAGTGTAAGCTTTTTTCTTATGAGCTTGGAATGCATTTTCTTTTCTATTCCACAAAATCCAAATAGTTTTTAATAATTGCTATCTATAAAAATAATTATGCCGTTTAATTTTTTTTCCAGCTTTATATAACAAGTTGCATGCTTTATGTGTAATCATTTGAAACTTATATGATTACATTAATTTTCCAGAACCCGCTTCCTGTAATCGAGGTCCCCACTAATGGAACTTATGAGTTTACTGAAGGACCTCTTCTTCGTAAGTTTCTGTCTCCGCGCACTCATACACATACATATGTGCGTTATGGTTACATACACACGCGCAGATATACATACGTACATGCGCGCACACACAAACATACATACATACGCACGCACCCACACTTACAAGCATAGGCACACTTATATACACCAAAACGCACCTACAAATTTGCCATGATAATGATAGCTTTATTTGTGGTTATTATTGTGAAAAATTTGATTTTTGTTATAAGTATATACGAAATACAATGGTTTTACATATAAGGTTGTGTTGAGAAATGTGAAATTGTCAGTAATGAAGGTGTCACTTTCACGCCATGCTATCTACACTCACACATAACACCCAAACACACTCATCCTATAATCCATACTCAAAATTAACACTATTTCACCCTCCTCTCAGCTGGCCAGCGCATCGTAGGAGGCCATGAGGCAGATCCGTACAAGTACGGGTACCAGGCTTGTGTTACAGACAAAGCCAACTTCTACTGTGGGGGTTCTATCATCAAAGATAATATAGTCCTGACAGCTGCCCACTGCATGCTGTGAGTAATGATAGTGATGATGTTGACAAAAATGATAATAATGGGAATGCATATAATGGTAATGATAATTATATTGTAAATAACACTCATAGTAATGATAATATTAGAATTAACAGCATCAATGGTGATAAGAATAATATTGAAAATAAAAGTAATAATATAATAACGATAATAGAACCAGTATGCTGGCAAAATGTCAGTCCTGTTTCTGTATGTTACAAATTATACATTTTCTTCTACTCTTCCTTCTTCGCCATAATCATATGTTGCCCTTTTCGTTTCATTATTTTCCTTTTTTTCTTTTTTTCTTAACAGGAGTAACAGATTACTTGTAATTGTGGGCCAGCACAATTTACGACAGTATGAGAGTAGTCGCCAGGAGATTCGCGTTCTGAGGTCATACCCCCATCCGCATTATGGAAAACAAGGTGGCGGCATATTCGCTGACATTGTTATTCTGAAACTGGAAAAGAAGATAAAATTTAATGGTACGTTGTATTTTTTCTGTTCACGTTTAAGGGTGAAATGCGCTTGTTTGTGTGTGTATTTGCATATGTAAGCATATGTTTATATATTTACACATTTGTCTAAACACGTTTTCGTAAAAGTTAGTGAAATACAGTATCATATATAGTACATACATATATATATATATATATATATATATATATATATATATATATATATATATATATATATATATATATATTACATACATATATATGTATATGCATTAAGAAAACAATTGCTTTTCATTTTCCTTCTCAGATAAAGTTTTCCCTATCCAATTGCCGGATCTTAACGTGGAAACGAATATGCCTGTGGTGGTCACTTGGGGAGAACTAGTAAGTAATATAGCCAGTTGAAAAGATACAAAATAATAAATAAAATAAAGATTTTTCTCTAACTCAAATTAAGATTTTTAAATGTACACCTTTTATTTTGTTTAAATCTGACTTTTTTTTTTTTTTATTAGAAACTGAATTACATATCGTTTTTTTCTTCTTAATATCCACATTCGTTCTCACGATTACCTGAATTGCAGAGTCGATTGAAAACCCAAAAGCTTCTGGTCTCCAAGTGATGAAGTCCACCATACTGCCTTATTACGAATGCCTGAAGCACTACGGCTATGCTGACGTGTTCTGCGCAATAGCTCCTCGTCAAGACGTATCCGCCTGCAGCGTGAGTTGCTCTCTCCTAGTTTGCAGAATCTTTGGAATAAACTCTGTCCTTCTGTCTAATTCCCTGCCCTTCTTTCTATCTTCCTCTCACGTTCTCTGTCTCTCTCTTCATTACTCTTCCTCTTGCCCTCGCCTTTTTCTCTCATTCTCCCATTTTATCTACAAATGGCCATTTTGGTAAAATAAAACAATTTAAGTATTACGCATAATGAAAAGTTACTTGTTTCCAGAAGACTGAATTAATACCTAACATCAGCATTGAAGATTATCTTTGTCTCTCTCTTCGCTCCCCTCACTCCCTATCTATCTATCCTTTTCCCTCATTCCCTGTTTGTTCCTTTCTTCATCCCTCCTCTCTGCCTTTCCCTATCCATCTGTCTATTTCCCTCCTTTTCGGTCTGTTCCTTCCTCTCTCTCCCTCCCTATTCATCTATTTCCCTCTTTTCCCAGGTCCTTTCTCATTGAACATCACTTCCATTCATCGCTATCCCTTTCCAGGGCGACTCAGGGGGTCCAGCGATGAGCGATGACATTCTCATTGGCGTCGTGTCCTTCGCCGTAGAGGATTGTCCACCGCGTTACTCTCAAGCATTTATTAATCTTTATTATCATAGGGAATGGCTCATGGAAACGATAGAAAAGGCTTTAATGAATGAAATGTTTGATGTTCGGCCACCTTCCAAGAAGCCTACTACTACTACTACTACTACTACTACTAAGAAATGAGGCAATTTTAACATGGAGGCCAAGACAATGGGTGCGGTATTTTGGATCTGTCTTTAGTACATATTGTATTGGTTCAACTCTTTCTCTACTGGATATAGGAGTTTATTATTTTGTTCACTAATGTATCCTTTATTTGTTTATTAACTAAATGTATATAGATACATGTTTCTAAGGGATTGTGAGTTCTCTTTAAGTAGAGTGGAAATTGTTAATTTGCATGTTTTTATTTTATTTAAATATATAATGCAGTTAAGGTCATACAAGTTGAGTAAACTGAAGGTTTTTACTTCATCACTCAAAATAATATATTTTTCTTTACATTTATAAGAAATAGTTTTCTTGGCAGTTGCTACAAATATAATTGACAGAGAAAGGGAACTAATAATTTCAATAGTAACCCTAAATATATTTTTGGATGTGATTAACAAATATAATTTTTTTTTTAAACTATATCTTGCTTCACCAGTGTCTATTAATGAAATTCTTGGAAGCGGTTTTTCGTAGCGCAACAGCGCAGGTGTACACCACAGTGGCTGCATCTAGACTTAGACCTTGATTATTTGCCTTTTCTTGTGCACATCTTGCATCTGTATTCTTTATTGAGAAAATTCAGGAAATACTCCAGTATTACCAAAGTGCATGGGAACAGGCACACTATATGCTTATAGGTACACTATTGGCATATATAGGCAAACAATATAGACACTACATATATTACGATATTTAGTATTCTTCATTGAACTAACAAAATTCCCCGTATATGATCTCTAATTTGCAAATTGGGCAGTAAGTTCTCACCATTTTATTTATATTTATTTACTTATTTTTTTTTATCTAAATTATTACTAAGTCAAGAATATCGAAGAATGTGTGCCAAGACTCTGAAGACGGTTTATTTGGTCATGTTAAATATTAGTAGGTGTGAAACCCAATAAGGATTATAATCATCGACATTGTCGCCATCAATACTATTATTACTTTATGATTATCATCATAATTATTAGTATCATTATCATTGCCGCTATTATTATTATTATCATCATTATTATCATTTTTGTTATTATTATAATTTTCATCATCTTTACAAATATTACTCTGAATAATATTATTACTATTCCCATTATAATTATGAGTTACCATTACTATCATCCTTTGTCGCAATCAGTACGGTTCAGTAATGAAATCATGAACAACTGTTCTACTACTAATGATGATGAAAATTATGCTAATGATAATGATAATAATATAATACTACTACTAATGGTAGTAATAGTGAGATGATCATGATAGTAATGATGATATTAAGAACAACATTGATAATAATCCAAAGATAATGATAGTATAATAGTGATACTACTACTACGACTGCTTATGATGATTATAACAATGCTTATAAAACAGTAACAATGAAAACTATTATAAAACCTGATCATAACAAATAATGGTAATAACAAAAAGAAAAAGAATGGATATATAAATGGATATATATATAATATATATATATATAATATATGGAATAATAATAAATGAAAATAACAATGACGCTAATGATAATAATAATTATTAAAATGATGATGGTGATAAAGGTAAAGATGCTAACATTGATAATATATTGTTATTAATAAAAATATGAAGAAAATGATAATAACAATAATGATAATGATAATAATGATAATGATATTAACAATAGTGCTAATAATGACGGTATTGATATTCTTATTTCTACTGGTGGTAAGAATAAAAATCGTGCAGCTCTTTCAATTTGTCTTTGTTTATATATTTTGTCGCTTAACCCTTTTCTGCCGCCACTCAATCCTCTCTTGTCCTAAACCCTTCCCCTTGCCCGGTGGACTCCTTTCCCAAGATGCCTTCCCAACTTCAAAAGCATTCGGATCCCGTCGACTTTGCTGTTAAAACGGGCCTCCTACAGTGTATGCGTTATCCCCTGAGTGCCTACCACTATCGCCAGTGTTATTCCCTTTCCCTAGTTTATTCGTGGGGTTTAAATGAAACGGAGAACGAAAAATATGCATAACTTTCTACAGGTAATATTTTTCGACTGTACTGAACCGGGTGTTCAAATTGCCAATGTATATTATGTATACGTTAAACTTTTCGTTACAATTTATTTATGGTGGTCACTGTGTGAATTTCACATTTGTACTGGATTATAAGTTTCAACTCGTATACACGTTAGTTCGTTAGTGATACATACATACATATATATATATATATATATATATATATATATATATATATATATATATATATATATATATGTGTGTGTGTGTGTGTGTGTGTGTGTGTGTGTGTGTGTGTGTGTGTGTGTGTGTGTGTGTGTGTGTGTGTGTGTTTAGAGAGAGAGAGAGATGACAATATAATGCTGAGAATAAAATAATAGTACAACTGATGCAAAAAGGTAATAATAATACATAGACAGGTAAATAATACCGCAATGAGTCGAATAACTGAGTCGAATAACAGGTAATGAATCAGGATAAACAGAAAATTAATACTGAAAGAAATACCAATAAAAATAAACAAATAAATAAAAATAAAATAATCATAAATAATAATAAAAAATAAATGAAAGGGAAACACTGACACCAGATTTCATGGACGGGACAAAGGTTTCTTTGTTGATTTAGAAAGCACTTTTTAACTGAAGGGAAGGAGAAAGCTCAACCATAAGGAATATTATGAAAATAAAAACCCTAACGATTCTGTATTCGAAAAGAATATCAATAGATAAAATCGATTGAAAATCTATCAATACATAATATATATAATATATAATATATATACATATATATTATATATATATATATACATATATATATATATATATATATATATATATATATATATATATATATATATATATACATATACATATATATATATATATATATATATATATATATATATATATATATATATATATATTATATATATATATATATATATATATATATATATATATATATATATATATATATATATATATATTACAACATATACTTATATATATTATTGTACTTACAAACACCAAGTGAAGTAGCAGGTTTATTCAATAAGCTTCAACCTGTAACAATGCAATTATCAATAAATGATAGAACAACGAATCCATATCAGTGCATAGCAAAATCAGGGCCACAAGGGTCGAAACCAGCTGCGAACAGTTGGTCTCGCTGGCGCCAAAGCATGCGCTACCAGTGCACAGCGCATACACAGAAGGGTCACACAAGCTGGGGTCCACTAGCGGAGGAGTCAAACCCTCTCTTTTTAGCAGGCCTTCACGACGACCCCAGAACCATCATGTCCCCCCGAGGGCCGTCCCGCAGGCAGGGCTATAACCTCATCAGTAGGAGAGGAGAGCGCCTGCCAGGGGAGAGCCGAAGGGGAGGGCTGAAGGTCTTTGGGCGTGATTACCTCCGAATTACGGGGCACTACGTAGGGGGCTATGCATGCTGAAACGGCGGCGGCCGGGGTCCTCGTAGAGCGCCAGGAAGCTCACGTGAAAATAAGCGAGAGCAGGAGCAAAAGCGGGACCGAGAGCAATAGCGAGAGCGAGAGCAATGGCAGGAGCGAGAGCGAGGGCGGGAGCGGGAGCGAGAACGAGGGCAGGGTGAGGGCAAGGCGAGGCAAGAGCGAGTCGAGAGAAGAGAGAGAGAGGAAGGTCTTGGTGTATGTGTCAGGTTGAAAGGTTCAGTTCAGTTAGATTTGCGAAGTCATGCTTCGCTCGGGCCTTTTCTCTGGAGTGGCCCGGCCTGTGTTCACTATTTCTAGTTAACTCAGATGTTTTCTTTGAACTGCATGCTTATCGCGGTGGCTGGATTGCAAGCAAGCGATCCAGCTGCCACGGGGTAAGCATGAGGCACACCCTTTTTACCAGCCCGGCGGCTGTGGTGGTGGTCTCAGAAATTGTGTGTACACAATTCTGCAAGTAATGTAACAGGTGGCGTTAGGCTCGCCGCAGTGTTTGCATAACCTCTAAGTCTCATTGACTAAGGATTCTTTGGGCTATGTTTAGCACTGTTGTCAAGGTAGATGTTATCTGGGGGCATGCTATGCTGTAAGCTGTCAATAGTTGCTCTTGAATCTGTATGAATGACGTGTCCTCCCCTCAGGGACGCGTGTGTCAATGCTTCCATGATCGCAACCGTTTCAGCCTGAAGCGTTGAGGCATTGTCAGTGACCCTAATGGATGCTGTGGTATCCTTTGTTGCAAAGCCGGCGCCTGCAGTGTGGTTTATTGGATTCACGGATCCGTCCGTGTAGTATGTTATACTACCCGGCGGAGTTATTTGATCAATGACCCTTTGTGCTTGTGCCTTTTGGCTAGGCATGGAATATTGATCTTTTCTCATTGTGAGATTTAGAATTGAGAATTCGATCATTTCGTTTGCCCACGGCGGGGGTTCTTTGTAATCAGGGTGAGGGGAGTCCATATTTTTGGCAAGCAATGAATCTTTTAGCTGAAAGCGTATCAAAACTCTGGCTGTATGTGAGCCAGGAAGTTTTTGGGTGCCTGCAGGACCTTGGAAAGGAACTGTGCTGCCATTAGATCAATTCTAGTGTCCATGGACGGTAAATCAGCTTCCATGAGGAGGTTGATGACCTTTGTCCACTTAGGTGCACCTAGAATTATCCTGGCTGCTTCGTTTTGTATTGTTTCCAGTTTTTCTTTTGATGTTGTGCTGGAAGCAATGACAGATGCATAGTCAATAATAGGACGGACAGCATGTACATAGAATGATCTTAGTACTTTGTGTCCTGCTCCTATGTGTCTCCCTGTCATGACTTTCATGACTGACAGTCTTTCCTTGGTTCTGTCAAGCAGGTATTGGATCTCCTTTTTGAAAGTGAGTGTGTGTCCTATCCATACACCAAGGTATAGATAGTCCTTCACCCATTCCAGATCCATACCCTGTATAGTGAGTTTTTGTTTCTGACATTGGTTCTCAGAGCCATTGCTTTGGATTTTGCTGCTATTTTTA